TGTATGTACCTAAATATTTCTCAATTCGCAAATAAATAGGCTGAAGTGTGTACGTCAAAAATGTGTTTGGATATCGACTAATAAACAGCAATAAAATCGTTTCCAAAATTTTTCTTTAAAATTTTGTGTTGCTACAATCTTTTGTGTACGTAAATGAGTTTTTGGAAAAGTGGTCACACTACTTATACCGCTAGCTCTCGTAGCTGGCTACGAGATCGTTTTCATATACCCCCATTTTTCATAAATTTGGGACTGATTTCATTTACCTCTATTCCAAGTTCTACGGTGGCACGCTGCAATTTCCAATAAACCCATATTTTTCCATGAGCTTGAGATTGAGTTCATATACATACATATATCCATACCAAGTTCCAGGACTCTACCATAAATACTTCCAGAGATATGCACTATGAAAAATTCGATTTGTATGGGAGGTTCCACACCCCCTTTAGATATCCGTTTTGTTTTAGCCTATAACCATTCTTGGAAAATTTGTGTCCAAACTTTCAACCAAAAAAGAACATTAGACTTCATTCTCTCAACTTCTCAGAATGTAGAAAAGCTAAGAAATATATAATAAGATAGCATATATTAAAACAGCCTCCACAATATTTGCCAAAAGACGCCCCTGAACTACACAAATCAGTTTGATTGAAAATTTGTTTTTATCTATTTATTTTATACTTCACTTTTGGGTGTGTCAAAATTTCATGTGAAAACAATATGTGTTGCTGGAGAAATTTCACGGCCCATGGGTCCCAAAGTAAATTCCATTTGCTGTTAAATGGAAAAAGACAATCAGGTAGGTTCTGAAATCCGAGTGAAAGTGAATTTGGAAATGAATCCAAATCCGAGTGAATTTAATTTTGGTGTTCTGGAAAACGAAATATTTGTTCATTTTCGCACTCGGATTGCATTCACCCTAATAATGAACTTTACATCTGACATCTGCCAATTTGACACAATCTAACAAACTTTTAGCAAGCAAAGTTGTCAATTAAACACAAATAAATAACAAAGATTTAAATGAAAAACGAAAAATGAGTGCTTTAATTGCGTTTGCTACCATATTTATGGAAACTGAGGAGCATGCAGAAGAAGCCCTTAATAGAAGAATACTGCGGAATCATTCCAATCCATTAGAGGTTCCTGAATCGGTGTAAGTATGTAATATTTGCAAGAAGTTCAAATGTTCAACCAATTTCGTAGTTTCGTGTCCAACTACAGAGTCAACAAAGATGCCTTTATTATGCTGTTGAACGTTGTTGACCCTCACATAAAAGGCACATCCATTCCAACGCAACTGCAACTGGCAGCTACTTTGAGATTCTTAGCTGAAGGCGGTTTTCAGAAAGCAGTGGGAAAAGATAGCTACATTGCAATGGGGCGAAGTACGGTGGCTAAAGTAACAAAACGACTGCTCAAAATTTTAGAAAGGTATTTCTGTCCACATTGGATTAAATTAAATATGACGGAAAATGAGCTGGCTTAATCGAAACAACATTTCCAGCAAAAATTTGTCATTCCGGACGTTATTGGATGTATAGACGGAACGCATATACAAATAACAAAGCCACATAAAGATCACAGTCTTTTTTATAACCGAAAAGGTTATTTTAGTATCAATGCAATGATCGTAAGTGTTGTAACTTTTGAAGAAAATGATTCTCTATGTATTTGAGCTAAATGGTTGAAACCGTTTGTTTTAGATTTGTGACTACAATATGGTTATCAAAGCAGTTGACGCTCGTCGCCCCGGATCAAGCCATGACGCTTTAATTTGGAGTGTTAGTAGAGCTCAGGACTATTTCCAGCGGCGATACGAAAACGGAGATCGCGGGTCTTGGCTCTTGGGTGATGCTGGTTATGCTCTTCAACCATATTTGCTAACACCATACCGAGACCCACATGTTGGCACAGTACATCATACTTTTAATCAAAAACATTCTTCGGCACGCAACGTTGTTGAGAGAACGATAGGGGTCTTAAAAAGCCGGTTTAGATGCTTAGCCCGCTGTCTTCAATACCAACCACAAAAGGTGGTACAAATAACAAATGTTTGCTGCGCTTTGCATAATGTTTGCAAACACTACAAAGTGCAAGAGTTAATTGAGTTTGACATTGAAGACGATTGAAATGAATCTGCTGTTGCTGAAGAAATATTAACCGCGTCTACACTTGATGAGGCGATAATGATACGAGAGAATATAGCCACCCACCTTCATACAAATACCTGAAAATTTAATTCATCTCCTTAAATAAAACAACATTTATAACGGGTGATTTTTTAAGAGCTTGATAACTTTTTTTTAAAAAAAAACGCATAAAGTTTGCAAAATCTCATCGGTTCTTTATTTGAAACGTTAGATTGGTCCATGACATTTACTTTTTGAAGATAATTTCATTTAAATGTTGACCGCGGCTGCGTCTTAGGTGGTCCATTCGGAAAGTCCAATTTTGGGCAACTTTTTCGAGCATTTCGGCCGGAATAGCCCGAATTTCTTCGGAAATGTTGTCTTCCAAAGCTGGAATAGTTGCTGGCTTATTTCTGTAGACTTTAGACTTGACGTAGCCCCACAAAAAATAGTCTAAAGGCGTCAAATCGCATGATCTTGGTGGCCAACTTACCGGTCCATTTCTTGAGATGAATTGTTCTCCGAAGTTTTCCCTCAAAATGGCCATAGAATCGCGAGCTGTGTGGCATGTAGCGCCATCTTGTTGAAACCACATGTCAACCAAGTTCAGTTCTTCCATTTTTGGCAACAAAAAGTTTGTTAGCATCGAACGATAGCGATCGCCATTCACCGTAACGTTGCGTCCAACAGCATCTTTGAAAAAATACGGTCCAATGATTCCACCAGCGTACAAACCACACCAAACAGTGCATTTTTCGGGATGCATGGGCAGTTCTTGAACGGCTTCTGGTTGCTCTTCACTCCAAATGCGGCAATTTTGCTTATTTACGAAGCCATTCAACCAGAAATGAGCCTCATCGCTGAACAAAATTTGTCGATAAAAAAGCGGATTTTCTGCCAACTTTTCTAGGGCCCATTCACTGAAAATTCGACGTTGTGGCAGATCGTTCGGCTTCAGTTCTTGCACGAGCTGTATTTTATACGGTTTTACACCAAGATCTTTGCGTAAAATCTTCCATGTGGTCGAATAACACAAACCCAATTGCTGCGAACGGCGACGAATCGACATTTCACGGTCTTCAGCAACACTCTCAGAAACAGACGCAATATTCTCTTCTGTACGCACTGTACGCATTCGTGTGGTTGGTTTAATGTCCAATAAAGTAAACTGAGTGCGAAACTTGGTCACAATCGCATTAATTGTTTGCTCACTTGGTCGATTATGTAGACCATAAATCGGACGTAAAGCGCGAAACACATTTCGAACCGAACACTGATTTTGGTAATAAAATTCAATGATTTGCAAGCGTTGCTCGTTAGTAAGTCTATTCATGATGAAATTTCAAAGCATACTGAGCATCTTTCTCTTTGACACCATGTCTGAAATCCCACGTGATCTGTCAAATACTAATGCATGAAAATCCTAACCTCAAAAAAATCACCCGTTATTTAAAATAAAATATAATTCACTTTTTATTGGAACAAAAGTTAAATTTCCTATTTAAAAAATAACATATGTACATTAAAAAACTATTTACAGACAACTATTTACAAAAAATATTTACAGATAATTATTTACAGATAGATATTTACATAAAACTACATATTTACAAAGGTGGAGAGTGTTATCTAATTACTTGGTTTGTAGTGGTATTTCAAATACATTTTTAACTACTCTAACTCACACTCTTTTTGTTTGAGCTCATTCTCCGTGTGACGCAGCCTCTCCATTTGGAGATGATGCATTTTTTTCTCCTGATTACCTTCTTGTATGGCAACTGTCATTTCCTTCACAGCTTCGCATAGACTTTTTATGCCGGTGCTTACTTCGTTTGTGGCGTCTACATTGTCCTGCAACTCATCTACCAAACTTTTCATGGCACTTGTCTGCTCCCCAATGTTAGTCTTAAGTGAGTCGGAAACTGCAGGCTCGCGCCTTCGGGACCGTGTTGAAGCAGCGGCACTAGTGGATGGTATATCGTCACTGGAAGCCTCCGAAGAAATCTCATTGCTTCCAGTAGGTGCACCGAAGTCTGCTGTGTTGGCAATACCTTCCACCACCGTATATATTCCACATAAACGGGCAATTGCATCCTCTGTTTTCGTCAGGACATGCTTGTTGAATGGACCTCCTCCGGTTGCCCTAGCTTCGGTGTTGTTGTGAGCAACTTTTTTCCTGACAAAGGCCTTCCAATCCATCCAAACCTATTAAAATATTTACATTAGAAAGGTCGATTAACGTAGAAAAAATTAACTTGGTCACCTTTTTCCAGCCAGACATATCCTTATGCGGTGGGCCGTGGGCATTCAAATCTTCTACCAGCTCCTTCCAGAGTGCATCTACTTTGGCTTTGTCACCTTTCACGAAGCCTCGAGCGATATCCCGATGATTCTCCATGAATTGGAGAAGGATTGTAACCTGTTGCGCATTCTTCTGTTTTCCCCTTAAACATTTAATTTGTGTAAAATTTGTTACTCTTTTATTCTTATTAGTTTTAATATTAATGTATTTCAATAATAATTTAAAATTTACTCACATTTCGTCACGATCACAACCGCTAATTTAAAATTTGTGTGTATGCATAAAATCCACAAACTTGAAACGAAGTGAATGAAATCCGAAGATTTTTTCGCGGATTCGTTTATCAGAACATCCAAATTCACTCGGAATTCATTTTGGAAAAAAATGTGGAAATGAAACTCGGAAAGTGAAACACAGAACACCAAATGTCGGATTCAAAGTGAATTTGGTTCAAATTCACTCGGAAGTGAATTGCAGAACCTGCCTGAATATATATTAAATAGCACATCGTATTCGATATAGAAAACTACATTGTGAAATAATCAGATGACATGAGGACACTAAAAAATTTCTAAAATATGTTCATGATAATGATTTGGCAAGTTGTTATCGAGTTTAATGTAAAATTTAAAAATTTTTAAGATAAGATATTAATAATTTTTAAAAGGTAAATATTAACACAACTATTTTATTTATAATCCCAAATTTAGGATATAAAATCTCCCACACCAAAAAACTTACAATTGGGTAACGCCGCTTCGAATTTTTTCACAATTGAGCAATTGTCAAAAATCTGCTTTTTAATCAAAACGTTGTTTATTGAAACTACCTTCTTTTTTGTATCATGCCTATACTATTCAAAATTTTATTTTTTTAAATTTAAATTTTCAATTGTGAGCTGTACGACTGATATAAATACATAATAAAATGAAAAGGAATTACGGGCGGTGCGTTGTGTTTGTCAAGAACTAGGACAAGTAACTTGTGCCCTATTTTAAACATCCGAATTGTCCAGTGAAGCGACAACGGTGGGCAAATTGCTGCGATGTTTCATTAGGAGACTCTTCAAGTATGCGCGTGACTTTATTTTTTGCCCATCGCAGCCGAGTATTTCTAAGCGGACGCGTTTGTTCCCAGATGCAGGATTTATCATACCGAATCTTAAAAGAAAATCTCCCACTCATATACATGGATAGACCAAATTTCAAATGGTGGTCTGATAAAGCTTAAATCCTTGTTGACATAAAGAAACTGAAAGTAGTTTTTAATAAATTCAATGTAAAGGAAATTTAGAATTGCAAAAATTTAATAGCTAAATTATTGAAGTTAAGTTCTGATGTAAATTTAGAAGAATCGAACTTTTTTTAAATGTCTAATATACTTTAGAATTAAGTATTTGAATAAAAAAATAAGTGCTCTAAAACATTGGGATAGCAAAAAAAAATTGTCAAATCGGTTTTATAAATAAGTGTGTTTCACTGAGTATGTAATTTTGTGTAGGTATGCATTTCCACATTTACGTTAGAACGAAAATGCAGCAACTAAAATGAAGCTGATTCTAATAAGATTTTAAATATTTTCATATTTACAAAAACTGTAATTTCAAAGATATTGAGTTTTATCAAATATGGTAAATGCATAACAAAGGGTTAATTTCTTTGTTTAAATATTTTGACATTGCAATCAGCTATGAGAGAGCTCGACTGAATTGTCACTTCTACCATGTTGAACATGCCTTGATACCAGTGAAGGGTAAAATTTTATTTACCAAAAACTAAGTGCTAAGTATTTAGGTATTTATGTATGCTTTAGTAAATATGTACTAAAGTACTACAGTGAAACTTCTCCTAACGGACACCTCTATTAGGCGGACATCTCCCTTGGGCGGACATTTTTTCCTATACAAAGTTTTAAGTATAAATTTCGAAACAAATTACTCTCTCTTAAGCGGATACCCTCTTGGCCGGACGCGGACAGTTATTTTGCATAAAATTGACACAAAACCCTCAATTGAGCGGACGCGAACCTCTTATCAATTGACATGAAGATTTCTTTTCATAACAAATCAAACAAAAACCTCCGTTGAGCGGACACGAACTCCTCATAGGCGGACTACTAAATGGAAAAGGGGGACTTCCCGCATAAAATGAGATTTTTATGCACACATTTAGTTGGGTTTGCGCAGTGGTTTAGGTTCGTTATTTGAATTATCAGAAACCCTTGGAGAATCCAATTCTAATTCTGATGAATTTATAACAATAGATAATAATAAATACATGGATCGAAAATTAGATTTGTGGATGGATCTGTTACTGATAAAAACGTGAAAACTATTGATGACAAAGGTACTGACACTGAAAAAAATTAAAAATAAAACTTACGTCAATCGACAATTTCCCAGTTTTTTATGTAATGAATCTATGGTTTTATGTAGTTTATGGACTGAAATGTAATATTTATTTTTATTTTGTTATTACTTAATATGTACTTACGCACATAAATGTAATATGCACTTTTGAAAAAATACATGCACATTTTTGTTTGAACGATGTAATATCAATATCTTTTATCCAAATAAGAAATAGTGACTATTCAATTAATTAAAAAATTAAAAAAATTCTAAAATAACTTCCCTTCCATTGAGCGGACACCTCTCTTGGGCGGACAAAAAATGACTGACGGTGAGTGTCCGCCCAAGGGGGTTTCACTGTATTTATTTAAGTATTTTGGATGTTACTAAAGGCCGAGTAGGCTAGTAAATATTTAGTTATTATCACAGCGCTAAATACTTGGTCAAAAAGTATTTAGTTAGTTTCACCTAG